GATAAGTAGCTCCCACATTTTTGAGGCCGAACGACATCACGCGATAGCAGAAGTTGGTGTGGTCGGTGATGAACGACGTGTGCACCCCGTCTGGTGGGTACACCATGATCTGATTGTAACCGGAGTAGGTGTCCAGAAAGCTATGGAGGGCGGGACCGGATGCTCCATCAACCAACCTGTCAATGCTTTGTAGGGGGTAGGCATCTTTAGGGCAAGCCTTGTTCAGGTCAGTGTATTCAACGCACATACGCCACTTCCCTGAGTTCTTTTTAACAAGCACCACATTGGCTAGCCACGTAGTGTATCGGACTTCTCGGATGAATCCTGCTTTTATTAGCTTTAGTGTTTTAGCTATGATGGCTTCTCGTCTCACACCACCAACCTTTCATTTCCTCTGAGCCACCGGTTTTGCCTCTTTGTGGATTGTCAATCTATGACAGATAAGGTTAGGGTCTATACCTGGCATGTCGACGCTGGACCATGCAAAGAGGTCGGCGTTTTTGGAAATTTCGGCTACAAGTTGTTGCCGCAACTCCGTGCTCAAATGTTGGCTTATCTTGGTGCATTGGCCAGGAAGTTTTTTGATTTGCAGATCGACAAGCTCGTCAATTAGACTCGGTCGGTTGTCATGAGATTCCGACCTCAGGTCTAGGTTAGTGATGTCATCCTCAATGATGTGAGTGATAGTAAGGGAGTTATCTCGGCGTTGCTCCTCTGCTGGGGATGATGCCTTTAAGCTTTCAGCATAGCATTGCCGAGCTATTCTTTGGTTTGCCTTAACCGAAATTATCTGGCCATTACCCCCCGAAAACTTCATCGTCAGATGTGGGGTAGACACCACAGCTCCGAGTTGGTTTAAAGTCGGCCTTCCTATGATGATGTTGTATGACGTGTTAGCATCGACAAGGAGGTATTTGACCATGGTTCTTTTTGAGTTGGGAGGCGTCCCAAAGGTTGTTAGCAGCTCTATGTATCCCCGAGTGTGAACTCGTTCTCCTACAAAACTGACTAGGGATTCTGTGTGAGGTTGAATAAGGGAATGAAGGATGTCTAACCTTAGGAATGTCAGCCAGTATAAGACGTCAACTGAGCTTCCCTGGTCGATTAGTGTCTGTGGACCTCCTAGTTAGCTACCTCCATCGCAATGACCATGGGGTCGTCTTGGTTGGGACAGACACCGACATAGTCGTCGTTTGTGAAAGTGATGGGCGGCGTGTTGCATTTGGGAGCCGAGGCTTCTGCATGGACGTTGTTGATGCTTCGCAAGTGTCTCCTACGCACCGAGCTGCTTGAGCCACCTCCTACAAATCCTCCTGCAATTGTATTGATGACCCCCCGCAAGGGAGTCGTACCCGTGTCTTGGCTTACCTCGGCCTGCACTGCACCACTGATGTTTTGTTGAGATCCGGATGGTTGGTATGCCTGAGTGCCGGAGCCTCGGCCACGTCCCCGTCCTCGTCCAAGGTAGCCTCCCCTGTGAGATTGGGACCGTTGGACGTATTGTCCGAGATGTCCCCCTTGGACGAGTTCCTCGATGCGGTCCCTGAGTGTGCGACATTCTTCGGTTGTGTGACCATAGTTTCTATGGTATCGGCAATCTTTGGATATGTCCGCGCTATTGGGGTTGTGCCCGGGTGGAGGCAGGGTAATGAGGTTGGTGTTACTGGCCTCCTCTAATATGTGTACTCGGGGTGCGTTCAAAGGGGTGTAGAAGCCGTACTTTTCGCCTTTGTTCAGTCTAGTCTTTTTGAATTGACTATCGTTGGAGACCAGCATCTTGTCCTTATGGCCGTGGTCTGGCTTCCCTTGCGATTTCCCACAGAGTTGGTCACGGAATGCTGTGTGCTCTTCCATCTAAATGTACCTGGCAGCTCGGGCACGAAGTTCGTCCATGTCCGAGGGAGGTCGTCAACAAAGGCTATCGACGAAAGGACCTGGCTTGAGTGCCATGAGCATGGCGTGTAGGGCAACCTCGGGGTTCAGGTTGCGGATTTTAGCGGAGATGCTGGCAAATCGCTCCATGAATTTTCTCAGTGGTTCGTTGTCGCCCTGTCTAAGGCTGGCCAGGGCAGTGGACGTGATGTGATGTGGTCGACTCGTTGCGTACTGCGCCGTGAATCGCCTCACCAAAGTATCGAAGCTATCGACCGGTCTCGCTGGCAATTGAGTATACCAGGCGAGTGCCGATCCCTTGAGCGAGGTTGGAAAAACCCTACGCAGAATAGCATCATTATTAGTGTATAGGTTCACCTGTGTGACGTACAGATCGACGTGCTCATCTGGGTTGGTGGTGCCATCATAGCGGTCAATGTTGAGGGGCTTCCATCCAAGGGGAGAGGTGTCTCCATGATGCCGTCGACGAAGGGGTGATGGCGGATGCTCGCCCTGTGTCTTGGAGCCTGGGTCGGTGCGTTGCTGACCTCATGGTCTGATCTATACGTCGGTACATGTGACCGATGTGCGATAGACCTATGGGTCGTCGCCTTGGGCACAGTCGGTGGCGGGGAAATCGAGTGTCCTTCTTCCTCGTTTTGGTTGCTTGGTTGAGGGGGCTGATCTGGGGGGTGCTGAGGAAGCTGGGCACGGATGCGCTCGTTCTCAGCTCGTAGCGCGGCTAGGTCAGCTTCGTGCTGGGCGCGCATGTTCTCCAGGTTAGTGGTGTGTTGTTGTCACATTTGATCGACTTGCTCGATCAGGCGTCTCAATGTCGCTTCTCCTTCCATTCTTGCTGCGTGATCTTGTTTGTCTGTTGCTCGTCTACTATAGCTTCAGGTGAAAACCATAAGCGTTGCCGATAAGAGGCTTCTTAATCAGCCCCACAATGGGCGCCAAATGTTCTTATCGGAGATCGGTCGTGAGGGACGATCTATTGGGCAAGATTTGTGAGCCTTCCTTGCTGGGTACGTCGGCTGCTCCGAAGTGGGGGTGGTACCTGCAAAAGAGACTTAGATGCTAAAGTTAGTCTTTGATATTGTAATCGTCTCATATATATAGTGCACGTACCTTGATGTGAATTAGGGTTTTCCTCCTAGGCAAGGGTAACGTTGAATTGGGCTTGAGGTTGACCTCGGCCCGGTAGATAGTGACTTTTGCTTTTGCCGATGTCGTGTGGCGTATATCCGATGTCATTTAGTGTTTCAGTGCCGAGCTCAAGCTTGGCATCTCGATACGGACAGTACAATAACCTTATAAAAATAACACTTATAAAAATATTTCATCAAACAAATACCATAAAATAACCCTAACATATAGTTCTAAAAAAAATATATAACAAGCACGATGAGAAAAAGATGAAAGTGGAAGCGTACACTCTGGTATTTGTTTGCGCAATTTTTATTGATTAAAATTTATGTAGGTCCTGTGAGAAAAAAAAATCATGTAAGGTTTGAGTATAAAGGTCTGTCATATTTCTCATTTAGTATGCTATATTTCCAAGCTTATAGAATCCACATAAATTTCAAATAATAACAGTGTATTTGAAATATATTTCTACTGCTATCTCTAACAAGAGATTTTTCTATAGTTTTTTAGAATAACAACCGGTTCTTATTTTTTATATTAAAAAATTCTGATGTAGATGACACGTGTAAAAATTACTGTTATAAAAAAATCAGATTTTATTAATAAAAAATATTTTTATTATTTTCACTTAAATGATTCGAGAGACTAATCAACCAGCCTAATAAAAATATTAAAAAAAATGTATTGTCCATTTAAAATTTACATAAAGAGAATTAAGGACTCAAGCTAAAATTTTTTTATTAGAGTTAAAATAAAATAAACCTTTAAATTTTAAGTGATATTAATAGACTCAAAAAATAAATTAAGAATAAAAATAAATTATATCGCATAGAATATAAAGCAAATATAGATGATGACAGGCAGAGCTGACTTGCGTGAAGACACTCACAAGGGAATGGTTGGCACGCGCTTTAATGACCACATCGTAAGCTTTGGAATGCTTCACTGTGGAAGCCACGCGATTTTTTCATTTATTCCTAATATTAATTATTCATTCATGACCAAAATGTTAAGACTTTAGTAATCCTCTCTTATTTCTGCCTTTTTCTTTAATCCCATTTCATTGTTTAAAAGTGGGAAACGATTTGCTATAAAAAAAGAAAAAAGAAAAAAAAAATAGCCCCACAGAAAAATGTAAAATCATAAGAGAAATTTTACGATACCCACTATAATTGTGGGATACCGGAACAGTCATTTTATTTATTTATTTATTTTTATTTATTTATTTATTTTTATTGTAATTATTTGTTTTATTTTTATTTTAATTTAATATTTTTAATAATTTATTTGTATAAATTTTTTTCTATATTTTTATATTATTTTTATATTTTTTAATTTATATCTTAATGTAGTATCTATTATAATTAAAAAGTTTAATATTAATATTTTGTTAATATTTTTTAATTTTTCTTTGGTGATAATTTTTTAAATTTATAGCATAAATTAGTTTTTCAGTTGTATTTTTTTTTTATTTTAATGTTTTTATAATATTATTATGATTTTTTGTTTTTAATTTTTTAATTTTATCATATATAAACAAAATTTATTATAAAAATTGACTTTTTAATTATTTTTTTTAATTATTCTTTTTGATTGATTCATTTTATACATATTTTTAATCTAAATTTTTTTATTTTAAACTTATTTTATAAAATTTATTTATTCACATAATTTAATATACCAAAATTCTTCAGTTTCCATGGGTACCATAGCAATTTTCAAATCATAATCATTAAAAAAAGACTTTAAATTTTTATAAAAACATGCCAATTAAAAAACTAAAAGTCTAACTTTATCTTTTTAAAAGGTTTCTAAAGTTGATATAAACTATCATAAAATAACTTATTGCACATATAATAATAAAAATAGTTAGAGAAAGAAAATGACGTGTGAATTTCAATGGTGTGGTGGAAGGTAGCAAAAGATCAGCATGAGGTAGCCACGTGCCTTGCTGTGAATGGTGACCTTCCGCCACACTCGCCGTCTTACAAACCGAAAGTGTTTCTCATTTGTAGGTAGTGAAATTCGTCTTTAACAATTGCAAGTAGTTCAGCAAAAAGCTTCTTTGAGATATGGGGTCGAAGACTCTTCCTCATGTAGATGAGAAGGTCAACACGTCACAAGAAACATCAAGAAAGAGGTTTGATATATCCATTGCTCTTGATAACTTCATGGACAAACCTTTGACATGTTTGGATTGTTGTAGTTAGTAGCTTGACATGTTTGGATTGTTGAAAGAGAATGAAAAGGAGGAAATTAAATATAATTATATTATGTCAATTGTTTAGATGGGTAAAATGAAGATGAAATATAAAAGATACTAATGAAATATAGTTGAAGAAACGTGATGGAGTGAGAATTTTGTTTCCTTTGATCATAGCATGTCCAAAATTTATGGGAATAATAGCTTTAATGTCTGCATGCACTTTCTGTATGGTGGATGTTCTGTGCAGGTCTTATCCCAGTAAAAAGAAAGTCCCCAAGAGAGTTCACAAGGCTGAAAGAGAGAAAATGAAGCGTGAACATTTGAATGAACTCTTTCTTGGTCTTGCCGATGCACTTGGTAACTTGATCTTATGCCACATCGCAAATTTTAGTTATGATTATGACTTATGTTTAGTTTGAACCTTGACAGTCACTTTGTTCTCTCCATTAAACATTTTGATTATGTTTGGATTTTACGTTATAGCTAGATCAAGTCACCTTTGACATGTTGCAAGATCTAATATTAATGTTGCTTTGTTCCTTTTTCTTTGGGGAAGGGGTAACAGACCTTAATGAACAGAGCAATGGAAAAGCTTCTACATTGAATGAAGCTATCAGATTGTCGAAATACTTGCTCGGTCAAATCGAGTCCCTAAAAAAGGATAATGCATCTCTGATATCTGAAACTCATTATGTAAGGCCTTGACAAACTTTTCCTTGTGTAATATTTATGAGGAGAATACTCATTTCCTTGAAACTCATTTTTACCCTGTGGAGAATACTAGCATGTGTTAATATTTACGTATCCATAACTATTTTTATCATTACCCCTTGATATCCTTTCTTTTTAAGCAAATAGTGAATATATTGTTTCAGAAAGTTAATATCATTTCATCAAACATTGGAAACTATATTTCATGAGTTCATGCAAGATTAACAGTATCTTCATTGTGCAGGTGACTATGGAGAAGAATGAGGTGGTGGAGGAGAATTTTGCTCTAAAATCTCAAATTGAGAAGCTTAAAGATGAGATAAAAGCAAGAGTAGCCCAATCTAGAGCTGACTTGAATGTATCTCCTCACATGGAACTTGAGCAACTAGAAAAGACAACAAAGTTTTCAGGAGAGAGTTTCCAATTGTCTACCATAGAACCTACATTGCAACAAGGGCATGCAGTTTTGGTTGTCCCCTTAAGTCATGATCACCAAAATGCTTTATCAGCTCATAATGTTGCTGAGTTGACCCCAAAATCCACCTCCACTATCAGTAAACCGCATGCCAGGTATCCCACCCCAATGGATTCATGGCCATTAGAACTGCTTGCTAAGCAACCAACTTCAAGTTAATAATATGCTAATGTGTAAGGTTACAGGAATGGATATTCTCATTTGTCTTGTTCAAATCTTGAAGTCTAACGCATCAAATATGGAAATGTTTTGTATATTCTTCTTCCTCCTACAGAAATTTGGAATTTGGGTAATAGAAAAGAAGTACAAATATTTTTTTGTGTTTTTCTTCCTCTTCTTTTTATTTTTTCAATTTAAAAGGTGTGAATGAATTGGCTACTTTGCTTTTGGAGGGACCAGCTGAAACTATGTTCGATATTTTTATTTTAACAATATTCTACGAGTCAAAAGGATATACTAGTAAAGTAGTAATCATGTAAATTCTAATCATCGGATTATGCCTGGAGTTGTTTAAAAAATTGTTGATCAACATTAACTAGGTAATTATAATCAAGAACAAGAAATATAAATATAAAAATATATATAAGGTTAAACATCTTCACTTTTCCTATAAATATATGAAGGTTCGATTTTATTCCCGCATTATTAAAACATCAAATTTTGATCTTCTGTTATAAAAATGTGTCAAATTTTATCTATGTAATAAGTTATGTTAATATATTTTAATGGTAATGTTCAACCACTAAACACGTCATACTCATATGCTAATTTAATTTTAAAGGCTCAAAACTAGTGATGTTGATTGATTGTCACCGTTAGATTAACAAAATTGGTGATGCAGATAAAATTTGACACATTTAAAAAAAATACCAAAAATTGACGTTTTAAAAATGAGACTCAATAAATTTTTATTTATTTATAGAGACAAAAAAAAATGTTTAACCCAGATATATATAAATACATATCCTTCCTCATATACGTGGCGGTGGTGGTGGAGGAAGTGGTGGTGATATGGCGACGATGCGGTGGAGATGAAGGGGATAATGGTTTAAATAATGGTGATAACAAATGATAGTGATAAAAGTAACAACGATAGTGGTGGTACATGATAACTTTATTTATAATCTTTTTATCTAAATCGTCTAATTTAATCTAAAGATTGTTATTAGTTATTTTCATGTTCTCATATTAACAAGTATTCTCCTTGAGTCTCTCTCATATAAGATGGTGGTGGCGCCAGCGATGGTGGCGCCAGTGGTGGTGACAATGACAATTGCAATAACAATGATGGTGATAACAATAATAGATGGACCTATAATAGCAGTGGTACATGCTAACCAACCCGACCTTAAGTTTTTTGATGTCATGAACAAACAAACAAAAATTATGCCCTCATGTATTTATACATTGTTATTGTATTACAAATCATTCAATTCAACTCAACTTTAATTAATATTGTAACATATGTTTTTATTGTCCTTTTTAAGAAACATTTTATCATCTCACTAAAACAATAATGTATACCATATAATGTTAATGATAAGATAAATATAAACAACTATAATTCAATTCACAAGTGGCATACAATATGAGCATTATTAGTATAATGTATATATATACACATCACACCACATTGTTAACAAGAACTTCTCCATACCACCCATCCTTTCAACATGGCCAATGAATATTTTGGGTAATAAACATTTAGTCAACAGATTTGCTATTATTAATTTTGTGCCAATATTCTCAATAGATACTTTATGTTTTTTCACTTATTCTTTAACTGAAAAAAAAAAAAAAAAAACTTTAAATCTATACATTTTGCTTTTTTAGAGTATTTTTCATTCCTAGAGAAAAAGACAGTTACAAAGTTATCACAATAAATCCTTAGTGGTTTAGATATACCATTAATAATACTAAATCCAGAAGTAAAGTTCTACAACCATAATGTTTGAATTGTGGCTTCAAAGCATGTCATTAACTCAACCTCTATGGTAGAAGTGGAAATAACATATTATTTTGCACTTTTCCATGATACCGCTGTCCTCTGGCCAAAAAAAGGATGTACCCAAATGTAGACTTCCTTAAGTTCATGCATCCAACAAAGTTTGAATCCAAATAGCTAACCACTTCAAGATGATCCGACTTCTTATATGTGAGCATGTAATCCTTTTTGTCTTGTAAAAACCTAAGAACTTTCTTTGCAACTTTCCAATGATTTATTCTAGGATTGCTTTGATATTGGTCCAACATTCCTACAACAAGGTTAATAATCATCTAAGAACATGTATGGCAATACATCAAGCTCCCAATAACTGATGCATAAGGGATAGACTCCATTTCCTTTCGTTTCAAGTCATTTCTAGAACATTGCTTTTGTGACACCATCTACTCTACATACTAACGTAGGCAAATAAATATTGTAAACGAGTAAAAAATAGATATTGTAAATGGATATTTGCAAGTAATGGATACGAATACTTTTTATACCCGCATGTTAATGGAGAGGGTGTGGGTATCATAGTATTTATACCAATGGATACTCGTACCTGCTAATATTCAATTTATTTGAATTTGTATGAATTTTATTTTATTTGAACTTGTATGAATTTGATTTTATTTAAACTTTTTTGGGACTTATAATAGTTAAGTATTGTACTTTATTATCTTGTATTTTGATTTATGTGTAATCAAAATATTTTATTTTAGAGATTATTATTTAAACTTTAAACTTATATGATAAAAGTTTAAAATTCAATTTTTAAATCTACTTATTGTGAAGAATATTTGAACTTTAATTTTATAATCTTCAAAAAAAATTATTCAAATTTTATTTAAATTTTAGTTATAATTTTTAAACTTTTTTATGCAAATTTTTTATCATTTTTAAAAGAAAAAAATTATTACAAATAACTAAAATGCATGGTTAATATTTTGTTGAATATTTTTAAAATATTTTTTTAGTAAATATCCATGGATACCCATGAATATCTATAGATATTGAAAAAAACATGTGGATACCCACTCAACGGATATCCGCATGGATATAGGGACGGATACAAAGTAAATATTTATTCAACAGAGAGGGTAGCAGGGAGATACTATCCATACCCACCCTACCCCATTGACATCCTAATAATGTATAACCAAACAGGAACTAAAGTAAATGTCTAATAAAAAAATTACACAAGGAACTAACATGTAATCCTAAAAATAAAAAAATTAACAAAATGAAAACCTAACTAAGTTTCGATATCACATCCTATTAGAGCACATCATTCATCAAAATGTTACAACACTCTACACTAGGTCCACACATAGCACATCATACATCGCTATAAATAACCACCAAAATGAACATAAGTTATGATCACCAATGTTATACACAATTCAATAATACATTAATGTACCATAATTAATTAATTAATTAGCATATATCATGCATACCACACATAACCAAGCACCACAATATATATATATATATATGAAAACCAGCAACTAAACATATAAAGGTAGCACCCGACATGGGGTACCCTACACCCAACATAATCCAAGCAAAAAACACACATTGCTCTATGGAAGAAACACACCAATGTGACTACACTCACACTTAACAAAAATGTACTATAGAGTCCATGGAGTTTTAACACTTAGCATGGACCATCTCATATGTGACGTAAGTGACAAAGCGACCTAGCTCTTTGCCACTCACAAGCCCAATGGCGCTCCACAATGCCCAACATCATATCAAAAATTCACCATTGTCGAAATGTAAGAAATTACATAATACATGTATAAAAATTAATTCACAAATTTCAATCGATCAACATGTTCTAAAATCATAGTCATTCATAAATAAATCAACAATTACATGTTTTCTCATATAAGACTAACTATTATTTATTCAATTTACTCTATCCTTAGGGTTCCCATAGGAACCCATAAACACCCAAAGGTTCATGATCTCATGTAATTGAACAAAATTACACACGATTACTTATCAATTACTTCAATTAGAGCATATAAAAATAGTATAGAACATAGAAACATAAGTTACAATCAAAATTTGGGATTTTTCCCTCATATAGCATATACCACAAAAATGAGATTAGGGACCAATCTCACTAACCTATAGATATCCTACACCCCAAAGCAAGATTATTCACTCTCTCTTACCTTGATAAGCAATTACAAACAAATGCACCCTTCTAAGATATTCACTTTTCGAATTTTTCAATAACTCCTCAAATTCTTCAGAGAATAGAGGACGGAGCTAAAGTGTAAAAATAAAAAATGTAACACTAATATGCTCACAACACTAATTTATAAAATTGCTCCAACCCTTATCTTCTTTTAAGATAAAAAATAAAATATTTTCAAATAACCTACAAACTAAATCATGTTTTTCCCAATACACTTAATTAGATAATTATTTAAAATACATATATAATTGAATAAATTAACTACATTATTCCTTAGAAAACTTCCTTAATTAATTAAAATCTTTTATTAACTTATTTAGAAAAACATGGGACGTTACGACATTTGACTAAACTTGTCTCCTTTTTGAATTGAAATAATCTCTACATGGCACTTTTCCACTTTTAAATCTCTCTAACACTTTATTGATAAATCATTTTTGAGATGTGAGCTTTGAGCACAATTGAGACAGAATATATAGTTGCAAGAAGTTGTTGTGCTCAACTTCTATGGATGAAACAACTAATGGATTTTGGTGTGTAACTAAATCATATTCCAATAAGATGTGATAATACAAGCGCTATCAATCTAACAAAGAATCCAATCTTGCATTCTAGAACAAAATATATAAAGATAAAACATCACTTTCTTTGAGACCATGTTCAATAGGGTGATTGCATAGTGAAATTCATAGATACAAATAGACAACTAATTGATATATTCACTAAGTCTTTACTTAGAGAGATTTAACCTTCTTAAAAATGAATCAAGAATCTTAAATGAATCTTGCATAAATTATCTCATGAAAGTTTGTATCTATTGATTATGTTGGTTGTATATTGTAATGGAAATTGCTAAATAGAATGAATATAAGTGTTGTTTATGATTGATATAAGTGTAGTTGAATGTAAAGACTTGTTATGGAGTTACATTTCGTGATTGATTATTCCTTACTAGAATAATTGATTAATTAGTGTTTTAATTGATTATTTTCTAAAAGAGTAAGCACAAATGACTAAAATAATCAATTATTTTACTAAATAATTGATTATCCAAGTTTTTGAAAAATTGAATATTTTTGGAATAATCGATTATTTTAGGGAATAATCGATTTTCACTTAAATTTC